ATTATCTAGTCTAAAACATAATACAGTTTACTTTGTAATATATTTTGCTAGGATTCTTAGAACTCTCAAGTTGGTTGTATGTAAATAAGATAAAACATATTTTAAATTTTCCAAAGTAATTACAAAACAATACCCTTCTCGCAAAATCCAATTATAAAAAAATTTAATCTGCCATCTTACTACTCACTATATCTAGTATTTTCTAGTAACAATTTTAAAAAGATTAGATGTATGTTAGTTGTGAAAACCTATTTATTAAATTACAAATTTTACACCTTCCTCAATTTTTATCTTTTTGTTTACTTCTATATCATATCGTATAACTTATCTTCAATTAGAATACAATGATTATTCGTAATGGATGAGTTTGTCTTATTTTTTTTTTAAGAATTTCTAGTGATGCTTAAGTTTTCCGGATGTTAAGCATATATCTGTAATCAAGGAGAAAAACAAATGTTTTTATTACGTCAATATTTAACAGCTATCAAATTGCTCTCAAGATTAAACGGAAGCAAAGTAAGACACCAATACACTTATAAAAACGTACATACCTCCTCTGATTGAGTGCAAAGTAAACATCTACCTTTTACCTCTTACTAAGGTTGTTTGCATAAGTTGCACCCTAAAAACCCTCCTAGGTTAAAGTATTCCAGACTTCCTGCTCATCTTTCGGCAATTTATTCATCAGTTTAATTATAATATACCTTATAGATGATTCTTAGGTCTCTATTATAAAGAAAAATTCAAATTAGATTTCTACCACTCGAGGGAGTAGCCAGAATTGCATTCAAATTACCAATGATTACCTCCATACAGTAAAGACACATTGACAAATTTATAGAATACAACGAACCCCTTATCCTCACTTTCATAGATTTTTGTAAAGTGTTTGACACGATCAAAATGGACAGCCTTGATTTGGTCAAAACGTATTTCTGTCCATATGGTCGTTATTAGAACGATGCAGCCAAGTTAGTATAGGAGAACGTTACCTTGGAAAAGGGGCACTATAACTTATAACTCGCAATGCGATCAATGTGTGGCAATACTTTCTACCTTTATTTTACTATTTCGCTCAATAACTTTTTCGTGTTGTTTGAAACGTTCTAAACGTTTGGCATTGCCTTCCTCAGATAGCTTAGCTTCTTCCGTGAATGTGTTGGTTGTTGCTGTGGAAACCTCAGAGTCTTTTAACATTATTACTGTATTGTCTAATGAAAAATGTAAAAGGATTAAAAGTTAAGTATATGATTGATTATCTATCGAAACGTTATTTATTAACCAAATTGCAGCATTCCTCTTATAAACTCAAAAAATTGATATGAATGAACACGTTGTTATTTACACAATTACAAATTGTTTTCTTATCTTTTTGTTGAAAACAAGTAAACCTTACTTATTCGCACACTTGATTTTCGCAGAAGCTGCTGCTGATACATCATGATTATACGGAAATGTATATTTAGTATTTCTTGAAAAAAATACAAAATATGTATTGCAAAAAAAAGACAGTGCTATCTTGTTTAAAAAATGATATAAAAACTTTCAAAAAAATATTTTATACAAATTTTATATTGACACAGTAGTCTTTTTATTAGATATAGGATGTGCTATAAATGATTATATCTTTTTCTAGTTCACATGCCATCTTTTCTAAGAAGGTGGGCAATTATCATGGCAATTTGCAGTTTCAATACCGTTGCTATAAATAAGTAGGCAAAAATGCAGATAAACTAAGCTCTCCAATGCAATTGCATTTAATGCATTTTTTTAACCAGGTCTTCTTCTACAATTTCTTATACCTTGTATTTTTCATTGTGTTAATAATTGCAGTAAATCATTAAAATATCCGCTCATGACATGTCCCAGATATTCCAATTTTACAATTTAAATCGCATTTAAAACCTTTTCCGCTTTTTTCCTCTTTCTCAAGACTCTAACATTCGTCATTCTATTCAAGAAACTTAACGGTAATGTTCTTCTGTAGGTCTATAATTTGATCGCTCCCAATCAGTATTATTGAAAGCGTTTCTTGCCTGTCCTATGCTTGTTTTAATGTCTTCTTTATGGTCATTATTTTTATTAATTATTGTGTCCAGATATTTATATTTTTAAACTTTTTTAATTTGTTTTTATGTATTGTTAGGCTTTCATGACGCTGTTGCTTAAGTTACAGCTTGAGTTGTTTTGTTACACGTTTAAAGCTTTAATCCCTCGGTTTAAATTATTTAGTTATCATACTAAGAATTTTTTTTGCAGATACGATGCGGAAAAAAATATGTCTAAAGGCACCTATTAGAAATCAGTCTCATAGGGAACATTCTCCAAATCTTCGAGAAGAGTATGTCAGAATTGTCGCCAACATCCACTAATTGGATAGGCCACCATAAGAAGAAAGAAGTAGGCATATGTCAAATTTCAATATTTTGTCTTACGATCTTCGCCCTACTGGGGCATAGATTTGTATCAAGGTTATTATCTCTTTCATTTGTAAAGTTATTGTTATTGTTCAATAGTTTACCAATTTGTACTGGGATGAGCTTCTGGTCTATTTCTTTTACTATTATAGCTCCATTTGCTGCTCCCTCCTTTCGCTTTCTTCTTCTTCTTTCAGTGCCTAGTCGTTCCGAATATTGGCAATCATTCTGGCTATAATTATTTTATTGACTGATGCTTTAAATAGATTCGTTGTTGTTGTGGAGAACCATTTCCTCAGGTTCTTCAACCATGATATTCTCCTTCTCCCAATTCCTCGCTTTCCGAATACTTTACCCTGTAGGATTACCTTTAGTAATCTGTATTTAGTGCTGTTTCTCATTATATGTCCGAGATATTCCAACTTTCTCCTTTTAATGGTATACATCACCTCTCTTTCTTTGCCCACTCTTCGTAATACGGTCTCGTTGGTTATCTTGTCTGTCCATGATATCCTTAGAATTCGCCTGTATAGCCACATCTTGAAGACTTCAAGTTTTTTCTCCATTGCTTCAGTTAGTGTCCAGGATTCAACTCCGTAATACAATATTGAGAAGATATAACATCGTAGGAGCCTTACTTTTATCTCCAGATCAAGATTGTGGCTTTTAAAGAGTTTGGTTATGTTATTGAATGCACTCCTAGCCTTCTCTATTTTACATTTTATTTCCTGTGAGTGATCCCATTGTTCATTTACTGTTGTTCCAAGATAGTTATACTGTTTTACTCGGTCCACTGGTGTATTATTGTTAAGTAATTGAGCGTCTCTAACTTTATTTTTGCTGATGATCATAAATTTAGTTTTTTGTTATATTTACTTGAAGTACAAATCTTTCACTTACTTCATTTACTTTGTTTATTAGTTGCTGTAAACTGTTCAAACTGTCTGCAAAATAACGGTGTCGTCTGCATAACGGATGTTGTTTAGGCGTTCTCCATTTAGAAGTATTCCATGTTCGCATTTTTCCAAGGCTTCACTAAATATTTCCTCTGAATATAGATTAAATAATATAGGTGAAAGTATGCAACCTTGTCTAACGCCTCGTAGAATCTGGATCATTTCCGTTGGTTCACCTCCAAAATTCGTTCTTATTGTGGCTGATTGGTTCCAGTATAAATTTTGTATTATACGCCGATCTTTATCATCCATTTGGGCTTTTGTTAGAATATCCATCATTTTTGGTGTTGAGCTGTATCAAATGCTTTTTGGTAGTCCACAAAGCAGGTGTAAATATCGCAAGTCATATCTCTGCATCTTTGAAATAATACTTGTAGACTAAACAGTGCATCTCTTGTACCTACGCCTTTCATGAATCCAAACTGTGTGTCTTGTATTCTCTCTTCGCATAGCTTGTATATTCTACGATGTATAATTTTAAGAAAAAGTTTTAATGTATGGCTCATTAGACTTATTAGCCTATATTCTCCGCACTTTTTTGCTCCCTGTTTCTTTGGTAAGGTAATAAATTCTGAAAGTAGGCAATCTTTTGGGATATTGCCTGTGTCATAGATATTATTGAAGATTTTACATAGTACTCTTAAAGATTCATCATCAAGAAGTTTAAGAAATTCAGATTGTACTCCGTCTGGTCCTGGAGCTCTACCTTCTTTTAGTGATATTATGGCTGCTCTTATTTCTGCCACTAGTATAGGTGGTCCTGTTTCCGTAGGTATTGGGGCTGGTTCTCTCTCTCATCAAAAAATAAATTTCTTATGTAATTTTTCCAGGTATCATTGATACTCTCTTTGTCCACGATTATCTCTCCATTGTTATTAGATACAAGTTTACTTATTCTTCTGTTTTTACATTTACCTGTAATTTCTCTTACCTTCTTATGCACGTTGAAGTCGTCGTATTTACTTTGGAAAATTTCGATTTCTTGGCATTTTTTCTCCAGTTCTTTCTGTTTGGCTTCTCTGATCTTTCTCTGTATCTCTCGCTGTAATGTTTTATACATGGAGTTATCGTTCTTGTTTTTCCTTCTTTCTTCCATTAGTTGCAGAATCTCTGTCGTCATCCATGTCTTATTCTTACCTTCTTCGTTCTTCATAAAATTGTCTTTAATGTCGTCCATTGTTTTCTTAAGGGATTCTATCTTACCTTCTGTGCTTTCCGTTGTATTATCGATTTCTTTAAATTTTCGCTTTAGTCAGCATTTACTCGAAAAATGTATTTAGTTATCTGTTAACTTGATCTTCCCTTTGCCTTATTCTGTCTTAAAATACATATATAACTACTGCTGACGACAGAATACATAGTTATAAAATCTCCTATCAACGTAAAAACCAATGTTAGCATCAATATTTTGTACTGTCCTCCTGTATAATGAAAAACCGCAGATTATACAACAATGAATATAATAATATAATTGGCAAAACAATGGTTGAACGGTAATTGTTTATAAACTATTCGTTTGATAATGCTGTTAGGGAACGACAATATTATAATCCTTAACAACTTATCACATCATTTTAATCATTAACATAAAATAAATCAGAAGATAAACGTTTTGAATAATTCATGACACAGATATAAAATAAATTCAAAACGTTTAGAAAATTTACAATTTTATTAGATTGTGTTGGGTATATTGTGACATAATGTTCAAGTGTATAATATATCTGTCCGCTATATTAGTTGTAACTGTCGTATGTTCGGAAAACGATGAAGATTGGTGGAAAACGGCAACTTTTTACCAGATTTACCCGAAATCATTTAAAGATAGTGATGGGGATGGAATAGGAGATCTAAAAGGTAAAGAAAGTAATTTAAGACTTTTTTGTTTATATATTTTCAATTCTTTATAATAATAGTTTCTTATTCTTTTTTGGTCTTACTAATAGTTCTTACTGGCATTATTCTTTATGTATATATAATAGATGAGTTTTCTACAACTGGCACCATTTCTCGTATCATAATTTCCAGCGTTTTCTGTCAAAGCAATCTTCAGTTTTTAAATTTCTGGTACTCATTGAATCTTCGTCATCTTCTCTCCATGCCCCTCTTGGTCTACCTCGTTTTTTTTTCTAGTGGGTGGAGTCCATTTTTCTATATTTTTTGGCCATCTTTTCAGGTATTCTCTGCAGGTATCTATGCCTGTTAAGTCTTTTGGCTTTGGTAGTGTCTATTATGTCTAGGTCAATTTTCATTTCTCTTCTAATATCTAATTTCCTCGCCCTATCAAGTCTAGTGAGCCAACAACATTGTCTCCAATAGTCTATTTCCATGACCTCAATTTGCATTTGTTTCATTCTTCTTTTTAATCCTAGAATGTATTTCTTTGTTACTCTCTACCTTTGACGTTATTTGGACTTCCGAGTATTTAGTTCCAAGTTCCAAGGTTTTAGTTGATTTTACAGTTCCCATTTCAATTTGTAAACTTTCTGGTTTTGTTTCTGCAATTAAGCACTCAGTTTTTTGTATATTAATTATAAGAACCCACTTGGTATACCTTTCTGCCAGTTTGCTAGGCATATGGTCTATATCATTCATATATATGGATATACGACAAATATTCTTGCTGGAAAGCATTCGCAACTAGACGAGGTTAAACATACAGATGCTTTTGAGAAAAGCAGAAGATCGAGATGAATTTGCAATGGTTATAGCCGATCTTTATTAGTGGAGTCGATACTAGAAGAAAAAGAAAAAATGTTTAATTATATATCGTCTTTTATGCTCGGTCCATCGATTGCATTAGAGTCGTCACATTAAGAGAAAGAAAAACTAATTTTATGTCATCTACATCGCAGGCATCAAAATGTGTTGGAACATTATTAAACACTATATTTGCTTTGACATGAAAGTTTTAAAGGTTTTTTTATTAACAATTAATTAAATGTTTTATTTTAAAATAGTATCAGTATACGTTAACTATATATCCAATTATAATTCCTCTAAGGTAGTCTTAATGTGCGAAACATTTGCAATTTGTGCCAAAAGTTCACGTCTTTCATGTATGTTTTTTCTAATTTTACAGGTATTATCGAGAAATTAGACTACCTACAAGATCTTGGAGTAACGGGAGTATGGCTTTCCCCCATATACAAATCACCACTGGTGGACGAAGGATACGACATTAGTGATTTTAGAGACATTAATCCGTTATTTGGAGACTTAGAAACTTTCGTTAAACTTGTAAATGAAATACATACTCGTGGACTGAAAATTGTGCTGGATTATGTACCAAATCATACCAGCGATCAGCACGACTGGTTTAAAAAATCAGAAAATGGAGAAGAAGGATATAAAGATTATTTTGTTTGGGTCGATGGGAAAAACGGAGATAAGACTGAACCTCCAAATAATTGGGTAAGTATTTTCAGCTAACCAAGTTATCCAATCTATGTTCTCAACTAGGTAATACATTAACAGGCTGTAAACAAAAATAAAAAAACAATTTGAACAATATGAAAAATATAGATATCATAAGGGTTTAAGTAGGCCAGTTGAACTAAAAAAGAAAAGAAAAATTAAAAGATGTGTTCTCAAGCTAATTACCAATCAAGAATCAGACGGATCGGAGAAGAAAAGAAGATTTCCAAAGTTTTAAAAATTACTAAACAATGTAAATATAAGGTAAATAAAATTAGAAATACATTACAAAAGATAGTAGGAAGGATAACACTATAAGAACATATAAGAAATTGAAAAAAAAAACGGTTTAAAACAAGGTTAGCGTAAAAATGTCAGCAACTTTTTAGTGAATACCTATTGTTGTATCATATCTAGATTTAGGTATTAGATTGCATGGAGACTTTGGCCTTTTGTATTTAAACTTGTATATGAATTAATGAATCTAGCAATTGGGTGGTACATGGTACATGTCGTTTATTCTTTCTTCTTTTTGTAGCTCAGTGTCTTTAAATATTCAGCGTGGGAATGGAGTGACAAACGAAAGCAATTTTATCTACACCAATTCTTCAAGCAACAGCCAGATCTTAACTTTTATAGTGATCAAGTCCGGAAAGAAATGAAGGTAAGAATATATTCATTTGGAGATATTTTTTGGAAAACTGAGCCCCAAATATTTGAAATGTACTTTTAATCTCCCATGTAAAATTATTAAAAAATAAGGAATAAATAAATTTTTTTATATATTTAAACAAGTTAGTTAAATAAATCGTAATCTTTCTCTACACTCACAATACACCTTCTCCAGACATTTCTTCTAGATAGAGATCTACTTCTTTTTTTTATGATGATAAAGGTCTTTCTTGGTTTTTCCTTCATCTCTGAATATAGGTTAGTACTAGTCTGATAGATACGTAGAATACAAAAGAAAAACGAAACATTTTAAAAAAGTGGTGATTTATTTCTTAACATAATCTCTTTCTAGCTCGATACTCTTGACCCAGCGATGCTTTAACTTCTTTGACCCGTCTAGAAAATTTCTCTTTCGACGTAAGCTTCCATAGCGGCGATGACGTCCTCATTTGACGTAAATTTCTACCCGGCGAGTGCCTTTTTCAAGCTTGGAATCAAAAAGAAGTCGCACGGGGTAAAATCTGAAGAATACTGTTGACGGGGCAACAGTTCGTACCCAGTTCAACCAACTTCGCATGGCTATGACGGAGGTATGAGCAGATGTGTTGAATGGGATCCTTTTTCTGCAATTTGGCGTCGAATCGGTCCAAAAATTCGGCGTGGTAGAGACCTGTGATTGTTCACTATTTTGACTGTCCATTGGTCTGTGGTGTATACCAGTGTATCCATGTTTCGTCGAAGGTTATGAAACGGCGTAGAAACTCCATCCGATTGCGCTTAAATAGTATCAAGCACTGCTCTGAAGTGGTTTCACAGTTGCGCTTGTTGTCCGAAGTGAATAAACGGGGCACTCATCGCAGCGACAGCTTTCTCATGCACAAAATTCCATGCAGCTCATGCTTGTTTAATGCGTAAACGAATTTCTTCTAAATCTCTCGTTAACAATGGTTTCAAGAAACCGCTCTATGACATATCCATTAAAAACTAATTGGTCACAATTTTAGTTAACTTTTTTTTAAAAGGCCATTTTGGTTTTCCTGATATTGATACGTGCGTCATACTAAGTCTTTGGGGTTTCCCAAATAGTTCGCTGGTATAGCTGTATCGTCAGCATATATGATGTTATTGACAACATTTATTCGTTTATCGCTATTCTAGCCAATTTATCTTCCAATGCTTCACGGAAACTATATTTAGAGTATAAATTGAATAGCATTGGTGAAAAATATATCCTTGTCGTACACCTTTCTTAATACTTATATTTCATTTGACCTGGAACCTTCGAGTTTTCTTCTTATTAATTGACTCCAGGTTAATCTTGGTATTATTTAAACATTATTTTATTAGTAACTTAAAACCCTTTAACTTTTAGTAACATACTAACCGTTTTAGGATATTCTAAATTACTGGTTGGAAGAATACGGTGTGGATGGAATAAGAATAGATTCTGTTCCTTACTTAGTTGAAGACAACACTTGGCCAGATGAACCAAGATCATTTGATCCAAACGCATCCGAAAATGAATATGAATATTTGGATCACATATATTCACGAAATCAAAACGAAAGCTTTAATATAATCTACGATTGGAGAAGTCATATTGATGAGATATCCAAAAAAAACATCTAACACCAAGTAATTTTTTTAATTTCATGTTAATGTCATTCGTATTTATATTAATTGACTATTATTTAGCTTTTATAAACGTAAACGTAGCTATATAATTTTTTTAGTGGCGTTATCATCATTGATGACAACTCTTTGTTTGGTCTTGGTCTTTTAAAGAGTTCTTGCATGTAAATGTATTTTTTTTTTTCTGTTTTGTCGTAAATTTAATGTCTCCTTCTTGGATTTTGGTGATTTTTATTAAGTCGTTTCATATGTTTTTTAACATTTTTGCTTCGTATTATAGTCACTATAATTTTTATTTCTTTCGCGACCTTGAGACTTCCTTTCTTTCTTTTGGCGTTTTTTTTTTTGTTTTAGTTCTGAAGTATCTATTTTTCCTTCGAGCTTTTCTCGCTCAACTTTCAGAAATATTTTAAGTCTCCAATCCATTACAACTAGGTTATGGTCACAATAAATGTTTGATCAATGGTAAGTTTTTATCGATTGTACATATTTCTTAAAGTGTAGTTGTAGAATACAAAACTGACTGAAGTTCAAGTAGAATTTGATTCCTAGCATTGCTCCATTCTCTGTCTGCATATAAATTCCATGTATATAACCTTCGATAATGCTTAAAAGGGTAATAGGTATTAAAAAGTTGTTCTCTGCTAAAAATTGTATTGTCTATTTCAACTTTTGTTTTTTGTGCTGAGTCTCTTTTTTGAATTGACATTTACAACGACTATCATTATCTCACCTCTCTTTATCATTAGCATTGTTTATTCTATTTTGGTGTAAAATTCATAAATTTTTGGATCTGCTTGTCACCTTTAAAATATAAATTTGGATATATTTAGGGTTCTGTGAGTTCTTTAATACAATCAAACAGCCAATATTAAAGTGGATGACCAATTGTTGGTTATCCACTTTTAACAATTTTGGTTAACAATTGCTGTTGGTTTTGGTTGGTTAACAATTGCTGTTGTAACCAAGGATACATTCTGTCCCCGATGTTATTTAATATATACTCTGAATATATCTTCGAGCAAGCGCTAGGAGAACTACAAGAAGGCGTATTAGTCAACGGAATGTGTCTAAACAACATTAGATATACCGACGACGCAGTAGTTTATGCAGATAGTCTGGACGTTTTGCAAAGAATAATGTTGAGCATATCAGATATAAGTCACTTGATCTTAATACGAAGAAAACAAAATTCATGGTAGTCAGTAAGCGCGAAATATTAAATACACAGCTTTTGGTCAACCAACATCCAATTGACAGAGTGGACAGATACACATACCTTGGTACCAACATTAACAGCCAATGGGATCACTCCAGTGAAATAAAACAACGCATAGGAAAGGCGAGATCGGCGTTCATAATGATGAAGTCTCTTTTCAGAAGTCACGATTTACCACTTGCTACCAAAATCTCTCTCATTAGATGCTATGTATTTTCTACGTTATTATACGGAGTAGAGGCATGGACACTTTCTGAAGCTTCTTTAAGAAAACTCGAGGCATTCGAAATGTGGTGTTACAGACGTATTTTAAGAATTACATGGGTGAATCGTGTGACTAATGTTGAGGTCCTACGTAGAATAGACAAGCAATGCGAAATTATTAACACCATCAAAGAGCGCAAACTAGAATATCTTGGCCATATTATGAGGAATGAACAGAGATACGGCTTGTTGCAACTCATTCTTCAGTGCAAGGTATTTGGAAAGGAAAGGACCAGGGAGCAGAAGAATAAGAAGAATATCTTGGCTTCAAAATCTAAGAAAGTGGTTTAATACATCGACAACCGGACTATTCAGAATGAGCAGCAAAGCAAAGTTAGGATAGCCATGTTGATCGCCAACATTCGGAACGGATAGGCACCGTAAGAAGAACAGAAGAGTTCTTTAATAATGTATTGTTATGGTTCAGAGGAATTAAGTCTATAACTAAATGTCCAATACGAATATAACTGTTCCATACTGATGTTATCGGTAGATTTCTGATGAAAAATAAAGGTATCTCTAATTTTCTTTGTATATCAGGTGCACCTTGAATTTTAGATACACAAAATAGTTAATTCAAGCGGAAGCCAATTCTCAATTCTAAATTTCGCTTAAAATACGTTGCTATAATAGATACAAAGTCTACATACAAAAATAAAAGGTATATTTAAGGCAGATACAGCAAAAGAACTAAATTATTTATATAATACAAATTATATTATACATTTACACAAATAAAGTTTTTTATTTATGTTGTATTTTATGTATTTTTGCATTTATTCATTTATTTACAGAGTATGCATGACAGAAGCTGTGGTTGACCTGAAACACATAATACCATATTACGGTACATCTGATGGTTCAAAATTGGGTGCTCATTTCTCATTTAATTTCATCTTGCTTGTGTTGAACACTACTTCCACAGCAAGTGACCTTTCTAACTTGATAAACTTATGGATGGATAGTCTCCCTAAAATATACACATCTAATTGGGTGGTAAGTACCTTAAACCAAATGGTCTAAAATTAAGCAAAACGAGAGCATAAGGACGTTAGTTTGGGATGGCGAAATAATAAAAGTAATGTTTGTAGGTATATTGCTACGATTACGATAGCTATTAGAAATATGTAAGAGCAGGTTAAATGAAATGGAAATAATGCCATATTAGACTTAACCAATTTATACACGGAAAGTTTGATGAATTGTGCTTTTTTCTCCATTTATTTATATATTTGGCGCTACATTTTCATTAAAGCCGTAGTAAAGCTCTTGTCCAAATCTGTAAATCTTTTTTAAATTTCGTATAGCTCAAAAAGACAGAAAAACGATACTGTAAATGGTTTACATTTAAGGCCATCAAAATAGATGACGCTTTTTGTAGCTTCCACTTGAGAAGTGATAAATAGCAGGAGAATTCGCTGGATTTCCGTATAAAAGTTTGTATCTACCCGACTGTCTGAAGGGACGTAGGGAATACAAAAATAATGTTGTAGCAGTCGATTGATACCAATTCATATGCGGAAGGTTTGACGAATTATGCTTCTTTCGCCGTTTATTTATATATTCGCCGTTTCATTCATCAAAGCCGTAGTAAAGCTCTTACTAAAATCTGTAAACCTTTTACAAATTTCGTATAGCTCAAAAATACAGAAAACGGGTAGTGGTAAATAATCGGTATCACAATAGCTACCACTTTTTATAGCTACCACTTGAGAAGCGGGAAATACCAGGATAATTTGTGGCTTTCCGTGTAGGAGTTTTTTCTATCTAACCGTCTGAAGACATAGGGAGTCCAAAAAATAATGTTATAAACAGTCTATTGATGCCAGTTCATACATAAAAGGTTTGATGAAACTGTGTTCCTTTTGCAGTATATATTTCTTTTGCAGTTCCTTTTGCAAAACTCTTGCTGAAAATTGTAAACGAGGTAATAAAATTTGGGAGATTTATGGGGTATAAACATTTTAAAATACATTTAACGAGAACACAGCCTTTTTGCGGTAAAGATACATTTACAAAGAAATATAATTAAGGAAATTATAGTACAAGGCAATATGCCTTATATAATATACAAGGTAATATGTCTATACTATTAAATAAGAAACCGCATTGAGATATGTTACAAGCTTGTAACACAACTTTTAAAAGAGTCCAGAATTTTCAACTTTTCATCTTTCTTAATTATAAACGTACTTTTCTTTAAAACCCTTTTTAATTTTAAAATATAATGTATACTGCTAAATAATTCCAGATAAATAATGTAATAAATTTTTAATGAATAAAACCTTTTTAGCTAGGAAATCATGATCAACACAGGATCGCTACAAAAGTCGGCACAGAAAAAGTGGATGGTTTAAATATGTTAATGGCTTTCCTTCCTGGCATTCAAGTCACGTACAACGGAGAAGAAATTGGAATGGAAAACGGAGACGTAGACTGCGAAACACAAGGTCTAGATCACGCTGAAAACTGCACAGATTATTACAGAATCTCCAGAGATTTCCAACGGACCCCATTCCAATGGGACAGTAGTGAGTTTGCAGGATTTACCGATGGAAATAAAACATGGTTACCTGTCAGTGATAAAAAGGCAGGATGCAATGTGGCAGATCAACTTAATGATGAAAGAAGTCATTTAAATATATATAAAAAACTTCAAAGGCTGCGACCCCAATGGCGACAAAGTGAACACGAAATAAAAACTTTGGATGATTCAAACAATATAATTCAAGCTGTTCGGTATAACAAAGACGGATCTAATGAAGTACAATTTGTATTTAACTTTGGATCTGAACCGCTTGAAGGTATCGATCTGAATAGAGGAAAAGTCTTACGAAGTAGTTATAAGCAGTGGTAACTCACCAAGGAATTCTGGGTAAGATTTTTTTAATTTCAATTATTTTTGCTGCCTATTTAAAAGTCCGAAACGTTACCATAAGCTTTTAATACATAAAAAAGTTATTTAAATTTTGCTAGTTTGCCAGTTTACTTTCACTCCCTGAATTTCTCCAATAACTTTTTTTTCATATTTCATTAATCTTCATAATAATTTTATAAGTGTTTTATAGACTACTAATAGTGCTATATTTCTATAGTTTTCGTACTTCATTTTGTGGCCTTTTTGTAAATCGGGCAAACAGGTGCGCTATTCCATTGTTTCGGTATTTTCTCCTTTTGTCAATCATCTAATGTTAAGCGGAATATTCTTTCTTTTAGTCTTAGTTGCCTTCCTTAAAATATCAGCTAGCTTTCTCCTGCCCTTTTATTACTCAGCTCTTCTATTTTTTTAATTGTATTTAGAGTTAGTTCCTCGCACGTCTCTTCTTTATGTTCTTGCTAATTCTTATTTCCCTCTATTTTCCTCTATTCCGCACACCTGTTTCTCTTATTTTTTCCACTTCTTTGTTTCTACAACAGTTTGTATTATTCTTTTTAGTTTTTTCTAGATTGCCTAAATTTTGGTAGAAATTTTTAAACCTATGTTTATGTACGCATCTTCCATGTTTTTCAATTGCTTTTTTCGGCAAACAGGGCAAAAAAAGCTGTTTTCTTTTCATTTTTCTGTAAAATTCTTTGAAATCTCTCGCGCGCCTTTCGAGATTAGAAAACATAGGTTTTGTCTATTTATTTTGGGTTTTTGTATGTCTCTTTGTACATTTTCTTTGTTTCTTTTTGCCAAAGCATTAGTGCATTTCTACAACACATAACCATGCGCTGGACATCTCACTATTACAGTTTTTTCCATAAACTTTTTTCAGACTTTTCATACTTTTTCAGACAGACGTGGCTGTCTGTATGGTCTGCCATTATTCTTGTATTTCCTGCTTGACTGGATTCTCTAGCTACTTTTTTTTAAATTTATTTTTTCCTTAGTCTGATTTACTACAGACTATTAGAATAGGCTTTGGCTTATTGGTAATTCATATTTTTTAATTTAATCTTTATTACTAGTGTTATGTGTTACTGTTAGCATCCTGTTCGCTCTGTAACTTTCCTGCAGTCATACTGTCCTATTGGCACCTTATCATGTTTAGCTTTCTATTATGACACTGATGACTATTTTAATTTGATTCTGATTTTTCTTTTTACTTTTACCCGATCGAGCAGAAGTCCCATGTCACCGCTTATAAATGTCTTTTAGAATCAAAACTTGTTTTAGTTATTTACCTTTTTGTTCCCGTGTAGCTAAATTGGATTAACTTTTTTCCAGTTTCATTAATTCTCTGTGCAAAACTTCGTCCATCTGGTTATTTTCTATATATTTCCCTCTTCTCTGTACCATTCGCATTCATATATCTACAATGATTATTTCTATATTTAATATTTCCACACATTTTCCCATGGAGGATGCTATAACTTTTCGTTAGAACTCGTAAACTGTTCGTAATCTTTCAAGTACTCTCAAGTAATATACTCGATCTGATTCTGCTTGCAACTCTACAACTGCTTTTGTTGTTTACTTTCTCAGACTCCATGAATCGCACTCCAAAATATCTTTCGATGGCCCCATTTTTGGTCAGGGTTCATTTTATTTATTTTCCAGTTGTTTTGTTTCTTGTAGGGCAAGGATATTGTATATTTTTCGAGTATGTGGTTCCTATTTAGTACATGTTCATGTAGCTTGACTTATTATATTCCATGTCGTGAATTCGTTTACTATTTATTTGGAAATGTTGCCTTTTTAGGGCTCTTATTTTTGCCATTTTCAATAGTTGTATTTCCTTTTCCTTGTCGATTCGGTATCCTTATTCCCCTAGTTGCTATTCTTCTTTTAGTTTTTTGGCAATTTTACTCCAGTATTTTCTTTTAATTGCTCTTTTGTTCATCAATCATCATCATTCCTCAACCTCTTGCATCCACTGTTTGGATATAGGTCTCCTCCAATTTCCGACTGTTTTTCTTCACAAGTCGTCACCATCCATCTCTTTTGGGTGGATCTGCCCTCGGTGTCTTTTGTCTTCTCTAGGTCTCCATTCTATGAGTCTTTTGGTCACTATTATCATTTAACGTGTGTATATGTCCAGCCCATCTACATTTGACTTGTGCAATTTTTTTATGACATCTGTCACTTTAGTTTCTCTCTCACTATCTATTTGGTACCATATCTCTTCTAGTTATTCTCAACATTGCTCTTTCCATTTTTCTTTGGGTTACTCTCATTTATTTGCAGAATGTTTGGTTAAAGTTATTGTTTCGGAACTATATGTTTTACTGGCAGTTTGCATTGTTTGTAAACCTTTTTCTTAAGCAAATCGGTAGCGTTCCTTTTAGAGTATCTTGCATCTTGCCACAAATGCTGCCCATCCCAAGCCTATGCGACGCTGGATCTCACACAGGTATGATTGTTCTTTTTCCTATTCTAAATTTCATGCCCTTAATAGATATAGCTAAAAAACACCTGATGATGAATGTTCAGGGGCCTATTTGTTCTATTGCTGTTTTAGTGTCTTCCATCATTTTGGTGAGTCATTCATTTAAAAACTCTCGGCTATAATGACACTAACTATAACTGCACAAAGCGCAAGTGTATTAAGTAATTCACCATCATATATTTATTCCCATTATTAGCCCAATCTATGTTGGTTTAAAGGCATATTCCAGAGCTTCAGTGACTAGGGTGGGGGAAAAAAAAAGATAAAAAAAGATGGATGTCCGCCCTGTCTAATTCCTCGACTCAATTTCTGATATTTATCGGAAAGTCATGGAGTTTACACAGATGCTGTTGCGTTGTTGTATATATGTTTTTATCAAATTTGTATAATATCTATAGTCTATCGGCTTTGTTGCTACTAATGCTCCTATTACTGCCGAGTACTTCCAACGGTATCAAAAGTCATTTCTTGAAGGTCTATGAAACATCAACGTGAGTGGTTTATTATAATTCAAACACATTTTTCAATTAGTATTTTAAGTACTTGTAGGTGGTCATTTGTTCCATAACCTTTCCAACCCAGCATGCTCCATTCGACTGATAGAAATCTAATTTTTCGTTCTAAACGTTTTGTGATGATCTATGGTGAAACCATTTGTTAAGAGATGTTACAAACAAGACTTATCGGTCTATAATTCTGCTAGGTCTCTGATATATCTCCTTTTTTGTGTATTAGGATAGTCAATTGTCATTGTCTCATTTTGGAGGGGACAATGACTTGGTTTAGGGACCTAGGTTGAATAGTTCAGTAACTTTTCCAGACAAAACCGTTTCTTGACTCCTACTTTAACGGCTTTCTTACTATTTGGTCATCTCTCGGAACCGGGTTTTTCATTTTCCTTTGAGAGTTCATTTCACGTACTTCTATCATTATTGGTAGGACAAAAGTTCGGATCCTTGGTTCCTTTACTCTGCGTTCTATAATTAGTGATTTTGCCTGCTTCTGTTACACTGGCTTTTGCTATAATTCTTTATAGAAGCTTTTGGCTATTCTCTGCTATTCTGTCTCTATTTTGTAGTATATTATCTATCCTTCCTGTTCAAATCAACTTCTTCTAAGCCTATTTTTTAACAATTTTTTTGCCAGATCCTTTAATATGTAGATGCGATCTTTATGGTGCTTCAATCTTACTTTTCTTCATTTATTATCTTAAATTTTATTCGTTAATGGTTTCTATTTCTATTTCGCAGATAGTTGCTTCTATTTTTGTTGTGTTAAAAGGCTATATTTGCACCAAAAAAAATTGCTAGTATCTGAATGCTTTTCATGCTTTTGTTTTAGTTTCTTTATTTTTCTATTAGGAATCCCAATATAATCTACACCTTTCGTTTTACTTGTTTACTTCAGTTGTTCCATTTTGTCTTGTAATTTAATAACAACAATTTAATTGTTTATTATTTTCCAGTTGTTTTTTTTTTTATTTGTTTTATTTCATTCAGTCCGGCATGACTTCGAAGGTACCTCGTTGAATACTGTTCTATTAATATTTTTATCTAGAATAAAATGCTCGAAAAAGAGAACCATACCAGCCAGGTTATAGATGTCGTCTTTCATTGCGTTGATCTAACTAAATTAATCTGCAGAATGAATAATTTCTTAGTACCAGATTGGTAAATATGAGCTCTTAATATTTTTACAGCTGTAAAATTGACAATAATACGAAAGCAGAATATAAGGTCGATTCAGTACAACATCAGTATCGTCATAGTCTCGGCGCCGAACCGGTTTCTGTTTGGAGTCACAGACCGATTAACTATCTGACATGCTGGGAAACTGTTTGTCAACGGATGAGTCTTGAATGCCCGGCAACATATTTGTGATATGACGGATTGTGTCAGTTCGGCGCAGATCACTGTGACGAGACGTGACTGATGTTGTCTGAATCGACCATTAAGAAAAGCCTTTACAAAGCACGAAATTTAATGCATGCTATAGAATGCCTAAAACCAATTATTGTGAAGGCAAAATATTTTTTTTATTTACAGAGATGTAGTCGATGGAAAATCCTTAACTTTCGAATGGAAATGAGGCATTGATATTAAAACCAAAAAGCGGATGAATTACAATATGTTTAATTACCACACATACATATTTATTCTATTCTTTTTAAATTTAGTTTAAAAATTAAGAAAACATGCACAAATAACAATATTAAGCCAAATTGATGTTATTAAAATGATATTTTATATTTTTTATATGTGTATTAGGTATATAAATACAATATTTTTACTGGCTAAATTTTTATTCGTTTCATATGCCACTGCAGCAACACAAAAAAAATAACAAAACATCAGATCCGGACAATGTACACTGCGAAATATTAAAGATCATATGTAAATCAGACAAATAATACCTTGGGGATTTGTATTTAAACAGCAAATATTAAACAGGAGAGAAAGAAGTGGCCAGCACAAGTGGACTATTGGTTACCAATCCCTAAATAAAACCAAGGTCCAACTGTGTGATTACGATCAGACATTGTTAGCATATAATCAGTTCATATCCACTAAAGCGTTAGCCAAGGAATATTTCATATCAAGGGACTATATGGTCAATGTGGGGTCACCAAGTTATTGTATATTGGCAATGACAATAATGAACAACTGATAAATATTCTACGCAAGATAGGTATTGGCGATAAGGATATTTGGACTGTGAAAAACCTATGCGCCCAAGTGCCCAGATCAAAAGGGGTGTCCGACAGAGGTGTATCTTATCCCCACTCCTCTTTAACGGAACCTTCCATTAGAATAGTGGTCCGAGGAAATATACATCTACCAAAAAACCGAATTTTTCGTTGTCAGGGACAAATACTTCATCCTATTGCATCCGTTTGTGTAATATTTCATGATCTTTCTCGTACGCATTATTTTTATTACAAAAGCAATTAATGTTATAAGCCAAACTATACGTTTTACGGAGAAACGATATCATCTGGAGCAGTAACGATTCAAAAACGTACAAGTCTACTGCCAAAATATTCAAGTTCGTGGACTAGTTCAAGCCTATAAACAAATGCTGGATACGTGGATCATACAGTTTTTGCCTTACTGTGTTGCCAGGTGATGGATCCGCGTTTTAAATACACGCGGCCACAATAGGGCTTATTGTGGTCGCATGTATCCAATGCGGATACATACTAAAAATGACCGGCATATAACAACCAAATCATGTTTTTACAGGTTTTTCTTAAACTGGCACATTAAGACCATGTTGTTTTCTTCATTTTGACAACTTTGGCCTGTGGAAGCCTATTTTGGTGTTGCCATGGTGGTAGGTTACATAATGTGTTAAACACATTATTGCAAAGTTTTAGCGACAAATTCTTCAAATTATTTAACTGTCCAACTGTATTGTATGTATTTTTACTGTTTAACGTGTTAAGATTGCCACTCTTCAGTTAGTATTGTCAAATCTCGTGATATTTATTACCTATTCAGTTGTTTCGCGCGACATTCCCTTTTCTTTATTTTATTTTTGTTGTCTTATTATTAAAAAAAAAAACAAACACTTATTATCTAGTTAGAGTATTTAAATAGGCAAACTCGGCGTAACGAATAAGCTATTTAGACACAATCCATGTTGACAGCTTTACAATGAACCTGAAATAATTTACAGTGAGTTTGAATAAACGTGGTAAGCTTTAGAAATTCTTGTATTTTATAAACGGCAAGAAAAGACTTTCCGCCTACTAGATAATTAGCAGTAAAAGGTGACACCGAGCTCCCACATACGGCGCGTAGTTAAAAAATTAGGTAGTCTTAATCGTTAATTCTAATATTTATTATGTTCAGGATTAAAGAGATCAGGTATTTCAAAGGCGAGAGTTAATTAGGAACGTGTTATATTTGGATTATATATCATTCCGTGTCCAAACAATGAAAGGCATTAAAAATGGTTATATATTTCTACGGAAATGTAATTTATTATCTTTTAATATTATATTCCTCAATTCGATTTCATCAAGAGTTTTCAATTAGCCAATTTATGTCAGACTTTTTTAATTACTGCATAAGAAAAATTATAAGAAAATCTAAAAATAGAATTTTGAAAGACACGAACCTGAATTAAGACCACGAAATGGAAATGGTTATTAGGAGATTAGAGGTAAATTAGCGCATATAGAGAGCCATAAATTTACTTAAAAATAAAAAGTCACACAGAACCAGACTAGACCTTAAAAAGAGATGGATAGACGAGTATAACTGCTGTAGCTGTGAAGAGCAGTGGATGAGAATTGCAATAAGATAGGGACGCGTTGGAAGCCCCAATTGGAGGAGGCCTATGTCCAAAACATTGGATAAATGAAGGGTGAAGAAGTAGAAAGAACACAGGACTAATAACCAAACGAGCACTTTTAAAAACACGGGAGGAGAAAGTGAACAAAAGGAGATGAACAATAACTTATACAAAAAACTGTTTCTTACAATGCAGGATACCAGGGACCATGGAGAAACAGGCATAATGATACCACTGTTCAAGAGGAAAGAAGATCAAGAAGAGCGCCCAACCAATTATAGAGGTATAAATCTACTGAACACCGCACTTAAGCTTACCACAAAAAGTCACTATAACCAACAAAGTCAATAAAAACTAACAAATTTATAATATGTAACAATAAAGGATTCAGATTCCGGAAATATCCTGCGTTGCGTAGATTGCCGTCTATGACTAAGACCAAATTCACAGAAAATGGCCAATCAGAAGTACAAGAAAATCAACTATATCAATGTTTTTTCTTATAGACCTACAAGGGCTTTTGACAGCATTAGAAGATCAAAGTCGTCTTACAACGACTGTATAAAGAACCTACCAATTAGATATTATACAAACCATCGAAAACTTGTACTTCCATATACGAGACAGGACAAAGATAAATGGAAAAACTAACATGGTGTATACCAAAGATAAATAGGACAAGGTGACTTGTTACCTTCTCTTTTCTTCGCCACTTCTTTTTATTATAAATAATGGTCGAAATAATACAAGCAGTACGTAAAGGTCATTGTTACATGATATGGGGAATAAATAAATCCAAATATTATGTTATACAGTCGGGGGGGAAAACGCCACTTAATCGCCCAAAACAAAGGACGTGCTCTAAAGATTACACAATACTTCAATAGATCAGCCAAGAAATACAATATGTTTATATCTGACACAAAAACCTCACAATATAGTTCGTCCCAAACACCCATGGAACATGAATGTACAATGTAGTCGAAGATCAGAACCGGTCTCGTTCCAAATGAACAAGTCATTTTGGCTCGGTATCTATCTGACCTCAGGTATTTTCCATCCAATTCTCCTTATACGTCTTGGACATACGCAGAGGAGGACTTTGAACTGTTACGTCGCGCGATTTTGGGTAATTATAAAAAAAAGGAAACACCTCCGTATTTTCATCTGACTTGTGGTTAGGCCTCATAGATAGTAGGGGTACCTTAGTGTAGCTTTTTCACCTATTTACTTTATGATTTTAATAACTTTACTTCGGGCCTCTGTGGCCCTAAAAATGTGTATTGAAAATAAGATGTATAGACTTGTACACACTTATAATTAGGTCTATCTAGTAAGACAGGTTTTGTATGTTTTTAACTAAAAAATTGATAGTGTGTAAAATTAATTTTAGTAATTAAGGCTTAGTATTACTCTTCGACATAATAAATGTATAATCAGGCTATCCTTATAATAAAGTTAATGTTACGTAAATTTTTTATAAAATACGATGACTAGAAAAAAATTACGTCAAATTAGGAATAAATTCTTCATAGAAAGGAAAAATTTGGACAATACAAACATCTTTAAAAACAAAGATTCGGGACACATCTAGGGCTCAGATATTGGGTCTAACCACAGATACATATTGTTATATTTAACAATCCCTCTATTTAGTTTTAAAATAGTATATCATGGGCTACACTAACAGCGACGGACAACAGCTGTTTTTTGGACGTATTTATATTTTTTTTTTTGAAGTAAGTTGAAGCGGAAAGCTCGAATATACGCGGTAATAAATTCGAAGCGAGCCTCTGTTTTATAAAATTATTAATGGAAAAAATTAATTGAAAATAATCTAAAATGATTGTCGTAGGTTATTGATTATTTTACTTTTAGTTACTATATGGAGTATGAATTTAAATATTTTAAATTGATAAGTCAACGTGAAAATTTAATATATAAATTTATAAAAATATCAAAAAACAAAACTTTTAAAAATTGATGGATGCGACCGTTACTTGATGGAAATTCATTTTATGTAACAAATAATAACACTGAAAACGTTGTTTTCAAACTTCCACAAAATTTATTTTAACTATTATCACGACAGCTGTTCGGCTGATAGCCTTCTCAAGTGATCTATTTTGGCTGCGTTTACAATTTATAGTCTCTAATGAAATAGGTTGAGGGAGGGGAGAACGGTTTTGTCTCAAGTGGGTCATGTCAGAATTATATCTGGTTGTTTTTTAATTTATTGATTTTCCATAGATTCTAACAAAGATAGCTTAAGGCCTTTATTTTGAACGTGAAGAATTTGTAAATTTGTCATTAAAAGAATGATTAAGATCTAGAAGGTGAAGTGCGTATGTCGGAATCTGTTTTTCTATTTTGAAAGCCCTTTTATGTTCTGCGTATTCGTTTTCTAAGTTTCTACCATTTGACCGATGAAAGTTTTTGGGCAGAGTCGCCACATTGGAAATTTATATTTTATACACAAAACCACACTATAATAAGTGTTTTTGATTTTGGCTCTTTTTCTGGTAGTGCCAAAATTGAAATGGAGCCCAAATTTTGGAGGTTAAAACCCCAACCCCCAAAGCAGATTTATAATTTTTTCATTTACAGGCCACAAGTACATGGGAGTTACATGCTGTAAATGTGAAAAGTTAGACTTAAAACGTCAAATCAAAATTCCTTTATGATATCAATCAAAACATGTAGATAAACAGATAGAAATGAACCACTTATGTTAGAGTAATAATTTTTTTTTTAATACAACATAAAAAGAAATCACAGTATTCTGTCAAAATGATTTCTGTTGGAGGTATTTGTATAGATTATAAGCAAAATCTGATGCGCCACATATATGTATTTGGCCACCTGGAAAAGTAGGATTTAAATTGTCTTCTTGAAGTCGAATAACTTTATATCGAAGAAGATGCGCGCACATCTAGAATACTGTAGTTATACTATCTGTTAACAAATTATAAGGTTAATATAAGATTCTTCATAAG